ACTAGAAGCAGAGGTAACTAGAAGAGGTAAGAGTAAGTAAACTAAGACTGGGCAAGTATTTTGTAGAAGAACGGGGAAGCAAGCGTTGATGGAGGAAAGTTTTTCCCACTTCACTGGAATGCAGGCTAAATGAAGTCCTCTGTGTCTAAATAGCAGCCCTCTTGCACCTTCTACTAGACTGAATTCTTCAGAGGTGGCTTGGTTTTTATGTTGATTAGGCACCGATTTAAGAAAATGGAAATTAATAGCAGCTAGAAGTAGGAACAGGAAAGCAAGTTTGTGTCCATTATACTGGGAATGGATTTAGTGTCTCACAACCAAACTCTGACAGTTAACCAATTGCAGTGTGCTTTACTGTATAAGCACTTTCTTGAGTCAAAACTTTTACTTTAAAAAATGTTTTTAAACTGATTTCATTAGTATATAGTTATGGTTACATTCATGATTGTTTTGGGCTTTTTAGAAAAGGGCTTTAACTATCTCAGTTTTACCTCACAAATTAACAAATCGGGAATATCTGCATTTGAGGAGCAGAGATCTTAATCATTGTCTGATTTTACTGTTTCATGTAATGTGGTTTAATGCCTTCTTCCTCCATCACCTACAATTCTAAGTCCTTTCTTTTGCTGTGAATGCCTTTGTTTACTAATAATTTCCAATATTATTCTCATCCACAAGTATTGCTGGAATGCCTACTTTTCAAAGGAAAAAAAAAATCTCAACCTCCAACTTGTTTTCAGTGTTTTGGATACAAGATGCCAGCAGATCAGTATGGTGCAGTAATGGAACAAACAAGAAAAAGTGATACTGAGTTATGATTTGTATGGATGCCAGTAAACTTAACTATAAATGTACAGCAACATTGTGGATAATATATACTTACTATATACATTTATTATTTTTCCTCAATACAGGATGACTGTGGCCAATTCCCTTACAATGCAAATACTCAGATACACTGGGTGTCTTTCCTGGATGGACGCCAACGAGTGCTGCTTTTCACAGATGATGTTGCATTAGTTTCTAAAGCACGACAAGCAGAGGAGCTGGAACAACCTGATCAAGAAATAAACTTGTCAATCCATAGTCTTGGACTTTCTCTTGTTAACAATGAAAATAAAAAAGAAATCTCTTATATAGGAATTACTAGGTACTGCACATGGAAGCCTAAATATTCCTTTGAATAATCAGAATTTGACAGCATATTATAATTTTAGCAGTACCGTTGAGTTGAAAGGGACATTTTTGAAATGAAATGAATATAAGTGGAACCTTTTAAAGTAAAATTAAGTTCTACATTTATTCTTACTGGGCAATAAGTAGGATTTACTTGAATTAGCGGGATTTAATTGCCTCCTTTCTTAGCTACTGTTGAAAAGTAAACAATAGTTTTTTGAGACTGAAAAATTAGGATATTTTTTACATAATTTGCATGTGTAAGAAAGGTTTAAGTACTTTTAAATTGTTAACCTTATTATTTGTTTTGCAGTTCTGGTGTTGTTTGGGAACTGAAACCAAGGCAAAAGTGGAAGCCATTTAATCAGAAGCAAATAAACCTGTTGGAACAAGCTTATCAAAAGTATCTTTGTAAGAGTGCTTTCCAGGCTCCAGGTTGGCATAAACTAGACAGTGATACTGAGGTATGTTTTGAGGTTGCAGTGTTTAAATGATTGCAGAACATGTACAACAGTTCAAACAGACTTCTGTTTTGCTATGTAAGGATAGTTGCGGTGTTAAGAGGAACACAAACAGAAAGCAAGCTTTTTTTTTGGGATAGTTTCATGTTCTGTACAGTACAACAGTTTGTCTTGAGGTAGTACTGAGGCAGTACTGAGATATTTTCCAGACATATATTATGAAGTAAGAATCTCAAAGATTTTTGCTTTTGTGTGGTAGAAAAGATTGCTTGGTATCTGCATGTTAGTTAGGAACCTTTAGTCACATTGATGTAACATAAATTCTTTGCAGAAATCTTGGGTTTAGCTTCTTTAGAACCTGCAATTCCCATGACTTGATACGGTAAAGGAGCCTATAGTGTTCAAAGACTCTTGAAATTAGTTTAATTGAGCTTTTTTAGACAGTAATTATACATACCTGTATTTCACGTGTAAATTTAATGTGTTGAAATGGCCAAGTAAAATACAGGCATTTTGGAGTACCATGATCAGGCTTATTTTCCGTATCATCCCTTCGTTTGAAAAGCAGATGTACCCTCAGCTGTGTGAATACTTTGGTTTTGTACATTGCAGTAGTGTGTTTAAAGTACGTGGTACCAAAAACTTGTCTCTGTAAGTTCTTACTTTGACTTTTAATAAAAGGAGAGCTTTTTCGTTTTGCTTCTCATAAATTAAATGTTTCAGGATCAGGGTAAAAGCATCAGCTGGGAAGGTAGTCAGCTGCATGTAGATGTCTTTAATTATGCCAGTGTAATATAAAACTCATGAAGAGATAAGATGACACAGAGGTTCTTGCCTGGGACAACTCAAGTTGCAGTGTAATGTGCTTACCAGACAAACTTGTGGTTTTCATGCTTTCCCTAATTGGAATGAGTAATTCAGTAGTCATGTGATCATGAAATAAGGAAAAATGCAGATTTCATTCACCAGGCTGTCTACTAATAACATAACATCTTATTATTTCTTTAATTAAAGTGTATGTTAGCTCTGCTTTCTTAAATTTCTAGGTGAATTTCAGTAAATTTCCAATGGAAATGCGTCTTCCAGTCAGATGCAGCATCCGACGCAACTTCCTGTCAGGAATTCAGGTGGAATTCAAACAGTCGCCTCACCAAAGAAGCTTACGGGCTCAGTTGTATTGGCTGCAGGTACCATCTGTTGTCGTGTTCTATAAACTAAACAGACACTTTAAAGCTTTTATTTTATTCCTTTATATGAAGAAGCATCTCAATCTTACATCTGTGGTGCTCTGTTCACCACGTCAGAGCAGTGCAAGTACTGCGAATGCTCCATTGATGGAAAAGTACTGCAGAACTGCTGTCCCAGGATTTTGCAAGTAGTGGGGAAAAAATTCCACATAATGGTGGGTTTATGTAAAGCAAGGTGCTATGATGGAAAGTTTATTTCTAAAGAGATGTGTTGTGATGTCCTAAAACAAAGAAACAAAAACTTCAACCTTTTTAAAAATTTTTTTACTGTAGTTTGTATATAGTCATGTAACATCTTATTCTAGAGAGTGGATCTAGACATTCAGAGATCTACTGTCTAATGAAAGGTAGATAATAGACATTTAAATACTCAAAAATAGTATGGAATAATATATCTGCCTGTAAGCTTAGAGGTAATTAATGTGCAGTACTTGCACCTGATTAACATAATCCAATCAGTGCTAATAGTGTTGCTAAATGAAACAATAGAGACTTGTGCATGTTACTTGTGAGAAGCGTTTAGTAGTAGAGGAAAACAATGGTGAGAAATTATCATAATTGTCATCTTCATCTCCATTTGCTGCACTTCAGAGTCAGCCAGGGAAGAGAATAGTTTTCACTGTTACAGTCAATATACACCATTGGCTACAGACCCTCTAAATGGATCTTTGTGAGTGTGAACCTGTGTAAGGGTCCCTTGTGCAACGTTTCTAACCATCTGACCTTTTATAACTAGATAGGTAACACTCCAAAACAATTTCAGTGTGATCCTCTTCCTTGTTTCCCCAAAGTAAGAATGATGATATTCTTGAAAACAATGTATAAACGACTTTATTAATCCTTCTAAACCAGAAATGGTCTTTGATTATCATGTGATTAAAATATTCCTCTGATTATGCAATAATTTTTTAGGTTGATAATCAATTACCAGGATCAATGTTTCCTGTTGTATTTCACCCTGTAGCCCCTCCCAAGTCGATTGCTTTGGATTCAGGTGAGAGAAAGTCTTTAGTAGTATCAGATTTATTCAGCCTCGAAGGTAGTAACTTGGCGACTTATTCTTTACCTACTTGGATTTTCTTTTTCTGTTTAGAACCAAAACCCTTCATTGACATCAGTGTCATCACTAGATTCAACGAATACAGCAAAGTGCTGCAATTCAAGTGAGTTGAACAGTGTGTTGTAATACAATTTCAAAGGTGTAACACATTTTAGAAGTGAATCTTGTCTTCAAGTTCTCCTAACCAAACAGCTCTTTGATTGAATTTTTAAACATCTCCAGTGAAAAAATATTTTAAAAGAAACTTAATTTTAGAAAGTAAGGACTGACAACGTGAAGGGACTGTTACGCAAATTCTTTAGTAATTATAGTTATTTCCCTCTTGTACTACAAGATCAGAGCTGCACGTCTGCTGTGCAGTGCTGGGTTGATTTGGTGCTCTAACAACAGGTAGTTCAGATGGTCTCTAGTGTAGCCCAGTACAGCATGTTTGTTACGAAATGTATGTTCTTCAGTTAATATGCCTGTCTTGACTTTCTGTACTAAAAATGAGACAAAAACCTTATACTGACAGTTTCTAATGCAAGTATCTGTACCCAACTAGTGTGGATATAATACCTGAGAATGGTGTATTTTAATAAAATAAATAATCAGTAATATGACTCTTGTAGAGAGACAGTGAATAAGGAAGAGATATTTTATCCATGAAGCACATGGAACTATAATTTACGAATGTAAGAAATAATTGGTGATGGTTAATATTTTTAGGTTAACTTTGAAAGTGTTAAGATATGTATTACGTTACTGTGTATTCTTCATGGCTCTGTGAGGCTGGCAAGCCCTTCTAGCTATAAACAGGCAGTTGACATGTCAGATTGTAAGTCTTAATCTGCAACATTGCGTAACAACTTCAGTTGTGTAGGGTAAGCACGTGATATTTGAGTTCAACTTCTACAAGTATACACTGTTTGATTTTCCCATTTTAGATACTTCATGGTTCTCATCCAGGAAATGGCACTGAAAATCGATCAAGGGTTTTTAGGAGCACTTAGTGAACTTTTCACTCCATCTACAGACCCGGAAGCTGAAAGACAAAGGGTAACGTATGAGAGAGTGGGATTTTTGCCAGAATAAGGCCTTTATGGTAACAGTGTTGTGATTTTCTGAATACATCAGTTGAAATGAGTGAATATTGCATTTGACAACAGTGGATAAAGGGACACAGTAAGGTAATTTTCAGTGAAGCATTGGAATTTCTGTTAAACATTGGCTGTGAGCGTTACTAACTGACAAGTTTGAATAACTGAAGCTTAGGTATGAGTAACTGGTTTTTCTGCTCTTTTAATGTTTCATCAATTGACCATGCAGTTGTTTCACCTGTGGCTACAAAGTGTTAAGGCTGGTACATGAAATATGGTTGGGGTTTATAGAGTTGGCTTCTAATTGTCTGTTAGTCTATTTTGTCTTTAGAGAGCAGAAGAAACAGATTTTTGTGGCTCTAAACTCTTACATAGCTGGATAGTATTCAGAAAGGTCACATTTGGTTTTAGTGTGCATAGGAGTCGTTCTTACAAGTTTCTTTTTGGTAAAAATGATGTCTTCGGAGGTACTGTATAAAAATTCTGATTTTGTAAGGAAATATAAAAATGCAAAGAACCTCAGGAAGTTGTTTTTCTAGTATTTCTACATTAATTTAGAAGTGATACCTTAAGTGATTGAGAAATTTAAAGGAATATCAAGTGATACAGTGTAGATTGGAAAAGTCACCCAGAAATTGTTGTGGGTTTGGTTTTTCAGGGGGTTGTTTTTTGTTTGTGTGTTTGGTTTTTTTTTATCCTGGATTGTAGAAAAATATAGTACAGTTGTAATCTGATACACAGAAGTATCCAGTTTTGGAGGTGTTGGCTATTTCACTAATTAGTTAATGGTTTTATTACATTTGGTTATGATTATTATTGCTGCTTATTTATATGTATGTATATTTTCACCTACATTTATATATAATGTTGTTAATTACGTTACATTATATATACGTATAATTATGCTGGTTTATATGTTGATGAGAAACTTCTGTTCTATATTTTCTTTTTCTTTTTAATAAAAACAGTCTAAATTAATCCAGCAAGATGTAGATGCACTTAACACTGAGCTAATGGAGTCTTCCCTAACAGACCTGTCAATGCTCAGCTTCTTTGAGCATTTCCATATTTCTCCAATTAAGGTATGTAATGGAGATACTTTTGGTTTATAAAACACTTGATATCAATGCTCTCTTAATTCCTTAGAGTAAATACATTCTCAGATCAACTTTTTGGGTGATTGAGGTCTTCATGCTGTCTTCCTAATGGAGATTTTTTTTTTTATGTTCTCTAGAACTTAATACATTATTGGAAAATTTTCTTAGTTGCCCAAGAGTAGAAACAAACCCTTAATCATTGCTAAGTGGCAAGAGTCAATGAGTATAAAAATGAGGAAAGCTAGATGAAATGCTGGCCTGAAGGTATCCAGGTTGAAGTTATGATAAATTGTAGTAAAATATATTTTCATGGGCTTATCTTGACATCTCTCTTGAAACAGTTAGATTTTTTGTTTTGATTAAGGGAAGAAAGATCATCAGTAATTAGACATTCTGAATCTACAGAATGCTTCCCAAGGCTATCATGTTGAGTAAGAATTTAGAGGAAAATGAATTACTCGTTTTCTTTTTTCTTTTCTCTTTTTACTGAATGTATAATAGACAGACATAAACCCCAGTACAGGTGATGATATTCTGGCACTTTTTTTGACTTTTTACTGGATATCTGTTAGAGTACACTTAGAATCTTGGATTATTTTTTTTTCCTAATATGATAGTGCTTTTATACTTACAAGAATGTGAAGCTAGGGAAAACAAGAGAGGAACAAGATGCTATTGTGATATTTTAACTTCATCCTCTAGCTAGTCTGTTTGAAGTTGTTGAAGAAATGGTTTTGTTTTTAAGTGTCTTTTGCATCTTTATTTGAAATGTCTAGATGCGCTGTCCATTAAATACAGGAAGAGGCTTCTTTGACTCCTTTTTTATTTTTTCCCCTTGCTTCAGTGACCCATCCCAATATTCTACACCACTGGATAGTGGGAAGACTGTGAAACTGGCTGTGTGGCCTTGTGAAAAAAATTAAAAAATGGGAAATCTTTAAAAAGTCAAACCATACGGATTAGCTGTTATGCCCTCTTTTAAGGGAGTAGAAGGAAGCAATATTGATTATGTTGACGAACAAAGGAAAAGGAAAATAGTGTTCTGTTGTCTTCTCCATCCTTAAGATAAGCATGTGGATTTACTTGAAAAAAGTGTCTTATTGACACTAAACAATCCCATTTTTACAGTGTTAAAGACAGTTCGCTGAAGTTCATGCGTTTCCCCAAAAGAGTGACTCGTTGCAAAAATACACACCAGCTAGTTAAGTAAATCAGAATTTAAAATTTAACTCGCACTGGGAATTAAGCTCTGCCTATTTAACAAGTTATTTCTCTCATTGCTTACACAGTAGTTTACAAATGTAAACATAGCAAAAGTAAAACTTCTAGGGCAATTTGACACTTCTCTGTATGGAAATATTAAAAAAAAGTGTTATCAAAGCAATGCCATTGTGAGTTCAAGCATGTTTGTTGGAATTCTTAGATTTCCTCAAGGTGAATAAAAATACTTTACCATTGTTTCACTACTGGTTTGTTTATATGTACACCGCACAACCTGTTTGCTCTTTGTCTTTTTGTCTTATTTTGTTGTCTTTTACTGACTCTTTTTTTGACAGTTACATTTGAGTCTGTCTCTGACTTCTGGTGAAGAAGCATCAGATAAGGGAGAAGACATGATAGCCATCCATTCTCTGAATTTGCTGTTGAAAAGTATTGGAGCTACTCTAACAGATGTGGATGATCTTATTTTCAAGTAAGCTAGTAAAGATGCTTTTTTAAAATCAAATTTTGAATAAAGCTACTATACATTTAATTGTTGGGTCCATGGTAAGCTTCAACTAGTATACATGTATACGGCTTTTGGGGAAAGAGAGGAATGGAGGGAATATGAGATTTGAGCTCTTTTTTAAGAGAATTGAAGAGAATTCAGGTTTGTCTGAAGGAAAAAAGAAAAATACTTAGAGGAGGAGGAGGAAGAGTATCTAACTAATGTGTAATTAATTTTCTTTCAGACTTGCTTTCTTTGAAATTAAGTATCAGTTCTACAAGAGAGATCAACTGATGAAGAGAGTTGTTAGACATTATAGTGAACAAGTAAGTTTATTTAATCGAGCCTTTGTGTAAAACTTTAAGTATCTTACAGAATACTGAAAATAGGAAAGGAAAGATGAATACTTCTAAGAGGTACTAATTTTAATTTCATGGTACTAAAGTAGGAATCTGGTGGTGCGTTACAAAAAAGGAAATTCAAAAGTGTCCTGAAAATGTGTTGAAGAATTTCAAATGATTGCTTCTGTTCTTTTTATTAATATTTTTCTTCACCAAACCAAAATATTCAATAGATATTCATACATATAATGCATCTTTTGACTAAGCCTGTCTTCATTCTAGTAGGAATACTTAGTTGAATACTCTTAACACCTTACTTACGTAGTAAATTAAAAAATTTACTTGCCTATGGAACTACGTGTAAGAATAGCTCTTAACACTGCTCTTGTTTTCTTTTTGTGGTTCTTTGTTTTTTTTTTCCCCCTCATTATTTAGCTCCTGAAACAGATGTATGTTCTTATACTTGGGTTAGATGTTCTTGGAAATCCTTTTGGCTTAATCAGAGGCTTGTCTGAGGGAGTTGAAGCTTTCTTCTATGAGCCGTTCCAGGTATGACCTCGTGATTCTTCAGTTGTGTATGAATAGAAGGCTGACTGAATATCCCAGTGGTAGTAGGGTTGTAGTTTTGTTGTCATTGTACTTACACTCTGAACAGTTAAGAAAGCAGAATTTTTTTACATAAACAATGCAGAAATAACATATTCAAATGGACATACTTTCATCAGTATAAAGAAATTGCTGTCTTTTCTTGAAACAGTAAGTGTGTACTTTTCTGCTGTTCATAAGAAGCTCCTTTTTTAGGGTGCTGTTCAGGGACCTGAAGAATTTGCTGAAGGGTTTGTAATTGGTGTTAGAAGTCTTCTTGGACACACTGTGGGTATGTATCGTATTGCTACTGTTTTGATAAGTTACGTTAACTCATGGATTACATTTAGATTTTCCTTCTTATAATTTTGAAGGGAAAGTTATATTTTTAAAATATCTACATGGTAATTTTTTTATGAGTGTTTAAGTTTGTCAGATTCTATTGCCAGTATTTGTGATGCAGATCATTCATACCTAACTTACTTAAGACCATCTAAATGTCTGTTTCATAGATGGAGCAAGCAAACTGAGAAACATTGCATGTGTAACTGAATTTGTAACATGCTGTGGATGAATAAGGAAAATAATTCTAATGGCCCTAAAATGTCTGGAGAAGCCTGAGAATTGTTCTTAAGATCAGCAACTGTTTTAGATTTTTATTTAGCTATGTGTTACAGTAATGAGAGAAAATATGCTTCCATCCAATGTGCTAGATAACTCTTAAATCATTTCAGTATATTTTACCTTTTCTGTGTTTATGGATTTCAGGCCAGATTCTGGAGTCTTGTCATGGATAACGTGGTAGTTGCTCTGTGCAAAATGTTAATACCTAAAGTGAATATGAAGGGAAATTGCTGTTAACTTTGTGGCTTCTTGTGTGTTGTCTGCAGTTACATTGTAAAAGAAGAGTAACTTTTGCATTTTGCCCTGTTCCATCAGGTGGTGCAGCAGGGGTGGTGTCTAGAATCGCTGGTTCTGTTGGAAAGGGCTTGGCTGCTATTACTATGGATAAAGAATTTCAGCAGAAACGAAGAGAGGAAATGGGTCGACAGCCAAAAGACTTTGGTGACAGCCTGGCCAAAGGAGGAAAAGGCTTGTTACGGGTATGAATTTTAAGTAGAGGGTATGATATGCCAACCCTTAATCCATGCTTGAAAATTATATGCGAGGAAGCTAGAGAAATTTGTCTTTATCATTTCGTGAACTAACAGAAGAGACAAACAGGCAGTTGGTTTATAGGAGGCTCAGTACAGTATATCAACTTTCGTGTTTGAGATCGTGTGTTTGGCCAGCCTGAGGAATTGAAGGTAAGGTCTCAGAAAGGAGAAGTGTAGTAAGTAACACCAGTTTCTCCTGTGAGTTACATAAATAAGCAAATAGTTACTCCTCTTCAACAAATGTGTTACTTAAGTAACTGGGCCCTTATTTTAGCTTGCACTTGATTCTGTCATTAAAGTCAGCTGTGAATTACGAGCTCTGGGCATGTGCTGCATAGCAGAAAAGGCCTTCTATATGCTGAAGTCTTATAAAAACTGCTAGGTTTTCTTGACTTAAAAAAATGTGAACACAAAGCAACTAGAATGTCTGTAAAAGTAGATACTGCACTAGGTTGAAGAGATTTTTTGGAAATAGAAGCTATACAACCCCCTTTTTTTTTTTTTACAATCTAAAATTGGAAACCTTTTCTGTTTGCTTGAAAGATCATGTCTATTTCTAGTTAAAATGTTAAATATGAGACAAACCTCACGTAAACAATTACTGATAGATCTGTATTACCTGAATGCAATTTAAGTCTTCTAATAAACTCTATCACTTTCCAGTCAAAATAAACAGTCAACTCAATTCTAAGTGATTATAAGTAATAAACATTGTGGAGTTGTTTCTGATAAAGTTGGCTGAAAATTTCGAAGTTGCCTCAGTGGATGTTTATTCTTCTGCCTTAGTGTCATTAAACTACTTGATCATTAAAGTCTTCCGGAGAGTTATTTAATATTAATTTATCTTGAACATTTGGTATCACTCACTCATGACTGGGAATTCTGGCAGCTTCCTGTTAATAGTGAAAGTGAAATAGCAGCTTTCTTAATTATTGCAAGACTGAATACTGTACAAAAGATGCATTAGTCTTTCCTGCCAGCATAAATGTTTCTTTAGTCATTTTAGTTACCCTGTCTTTTTTTTCCTCAGTTATGGTTTTCTTAAAAATTCAAAGTTAAAAAAAAAAAAACACAAAACCCTAGCCAAACAATGTTTTCGATACTGAACTCCATTGTAAAATTTTAAAACGAAGGATGAGACACAACTGGTTACCTAGTTGGACTACAGCATTCCTGTTTCTACGCAGGACGTTAACTATCTTCTTTGTTTTAGGGTGTCGTTGGTGGTGTGACAGGCATAATCACTAAACCTGTAGAAGGTGAGCTCTAAGGTTCCTCTGCTTTAAATGGTTTCCCAATACTTTACAATTTATTTTACATGATTTACTCAAATATATTTCTAACTATTACTGGCTTTACCACATTTTCAGCCTTCGTATGAATTAAAGAATCGTTTTAGTGATGTATTTTGTTAGGCCTGCTGTAGTACCTAATATATTGTTTAAGGCCGGAATAAAGATACCGAAAATATCAAATGAAAAAGCACCAATTGAAAAAGTTTTTTGAGACTCCAGAGGCTGGAGAAATCTTAGTAAGCAAGTTTGGTTTTATGCCTGAGATCAGTATTTGGTTTTGTGAAGACTGTCACTTCGTTGGTATGATAGATGATGAGAAAATCCAGTATAAAATGCTTATTAAAATTCATGTCAAAGTGATTTAAATGTTGGAAATTAATTGTTATTTTTTATAAGTGAAATGTACGTACTCAACTGCTGTGAGTTGTTCCCGATGCAAAATGGTTCTAGTGCAGCCTGGAGCAGTAGTAGTTTCTGAGGTTATTGTCTTCAGCTAGGTCATTAAAACTACTTCTTTTCCTGTTCTCTTTCTTCTAAAGGGGCTAAAAAAGAAGGTGCAGCTGGATTCTTTAAAGGAATCGGAAAGGGGCTTGTAGGAGTGGTAGCCCGCCCAACAGGGGGCATCGTAGATATGGCAAGCAGTACCTTCCAGGGAATTCAAAGGTAAAATGTCGAGGAAGCTTTGAAGTACTCTTCATGTGTTGGATACCAGGTGGTAAAGTGGTCCCCTAGTGACACACTGTTATTTGTGTTAAGTACAATATGCAGTAGGGTAGATGGGCTTGAGAGACATCTAGTAGCCTCCAATGAATGTCATTTCTGATGATCTCTGGAAATTGCTGCTTCAAGATGCATCTTGCAGTGTTTTAGTTCACGTACATGGTAACTAGTCCATTTTCTCCTTTCGTACCCTCCTCTGATGGGAAAATAATTAAAAGATCATGCGTAAATTTTACTTTAGAGGTAGATTTGTGTACCTCTGAATGCGAATGTCTAAGCGTCATTTAAACTTCCTGTAAAAAATAGATTAACTCTCCAGTTTGAAGTTTGGTTAGCAGTGCACATCAAGGGCTTCTTGTGTTTTAAGGGAACCTTTGCAAAGTGTGTTAATAAACATGAGAACCCTTAGTAAATTATCCACAGTTGGGAGTAAACTCTAGTTACGCTGCAGCTGTCTAATGGCTAATGGTGTTTGGATTTATTATTAGCAGTTTCTTTTCTATTTACATCTGTAGGGTACCCAGGAAGTGTAAGTGGAATATGTGGCAAGTGACAGGGTTACTTTTTAAAGATATATTGGTGAAAGTCAGAATTGTATTAAGCTTACCGGAGTACTGTTCCACTGTCTGTGACAGGGTGGCGGAATCAACTGAAGAAGTGTCTAATCTCCGTCCTCCACGTTTCATTCATGAAGATGGCATCATCCGGCCGTACGACAGGGTGGAAGCTGAGGGTTATGATTTATTTGAGGTATGACTTGCTTTGTAAATACGGTTACAGTTCCCTAACCTACTGGGTTACATAAACAATTACGTTACACAAAAGCTGCCAGGGATCTGTGACAGTTGTTACCTGTAGTAAAAATTTGCCCTAGCCTGCTTGATAAGGCAAGCTTGTACAGCAGAGAACACCCAGTGCTTACAGTAAGCTGAACATGACAAGAAAACTACAGCATTGCTGTTAAATATCTTCTGCTTGTTACGTTCTGAGATTGTGTATCTCATGCTCTGGAAGGAGGTAGTAGGATTAAGAATTAGTAGGATTAAGATTTGAATATGTGGAAACAAGAAAAACATTTTTATTACTCGGTTCTAGTGCTTTGCTTAGCAACAAAACTGAGGCTGGTTTACAGACTAAGCAACTTCTAAATAGGATGAATACAGCTTGAATTGTTTGACACATAATACAATTACTGAAATTTTGGGGTTTTTTGGTCCCCCCCATGGTATCAGCAGTTGAAAAAAATGCCTAAAATCTCAAAATCCCATCTTTTAGTATTTCCTTCTGTTGTTTTAATAGCAATATGTCATAGCTCCAGTCATTGTGTAGACATTTAGCCTGCTTCTACACCTGGATGTGTAGAAGCGTATCTTCTAACATAATAGTGGATGAGTAACAGTTGTTTTCAAGTTCTAGATAGTAGAAATCCAGTTAATTTGTATTTCAACCTTCACGTTCTTAAAACTTGCCGTAAAATGCCTTTTTTGTTGCTGAAAATTAAATTAACTGCCTACATTAACATTTTAAGACCAAAACTTGCATATTTGTTATTTCCTTCTAGATGTTCTTTTAATCCTTATTTCCTCTTCTGCTGCTAATGTTTCTCTTCTTTCTCTTTCTCTCCTGGCATACGCAGCAAGAACTGGAATAATGGAGTAAACATTTTCCATATTTCTTCTCTATTTCTGTCATGGTCTTTGTCTACCTTAAGTATTCAGATTAAGGGCATGATTGTGCTTCACGTATCCTCTGCCCTTCATTGATATCTTTTCTGTGTAGCAGTTGAATAAAACAATGTTTGATGTTGTCCAGGCTAAGAAAACAAACTTGAATAACCATCCTCAGTAAGATTAGATGATTTAGTAAGATGAGAGAGACAGGCAGGGTTTGTTTCCTGTGTATTTATTTTTCTGAGGATGCTTAGCTCCTTATGAAGGGCAACAACAGAAGGCACTTAGAAAAACCACAGTAAGGTAGATGCTGAGTTCATTCACTTATTAGCATTCTCTTAGAGCTGTGGGTGAAGGGAGAAGGCAACGTTGATACTTGTGCAAAAGTTGAAGTAGCGATATTGAATGGAATTTTCTTCTGTGAAAATGCTGATGACTTCATTATATTGTTTCCATATACATGCTGGGAAAACTTGTATTTGTGATTTCTGTAATATGCCATAGGTCTGTCATTTATACATGTGAGGAACCACTATCAATTCAAGTTACTACTACTGCTACTACTACTTCTTTATGAAATTTTATCAACTGAAAATACAGCCAGCTCAGTAGACTCTGGTGTCATTCACAGAATCTTCTGAGGCTTTGCTGTTCTGTGTTAACTTTCAGCTGTTAACATGAATTTACATACACACATATATATATAAAAATAAAAAATATATATTTCTAAATTAAGTGATGCCATAAATTTCATTTCTAATACAATGTCTTGTAAATTAACAAGTGAAGCTTAACAAGCTGTTCTGAGAGCAAATTGTTTGCCTGTCATACATGAAAACATTGAGCAGAGACGTTTCCCTGTTGCTCATGCCTTTTTAGAATTTAGTGGTCAGTAGACAACTTATTTAAGGTAAAATTGTTTAAAACCTCCAACTATTTAGTAAATGTTTATTTAGCTCATTAGATGAAATTAAGTCATCATGATATAATAAGCAGACAAAATTTCTTCATATAGTGAGGTTTTTTATTTTTATTTTTTGCACTGCATCTTTTCCATCTATCAAAAAGGAAAAAGTAGCACAACTAACACTGAAAAACAGATATTATGCTGTTTCTGCACATCTAATATTTGTATTTTTCTTAGATCTAAATGGTGTAGATTGGAATTGTGTACTAAACAAGAATGAATCCTTTGTATAGTTCACTAAACATAATTTCTTCCTTTGAGAAGTCAATTAATTAGAGGTTTGTGGTTTTTTTAACTAACTGATTTTGATTATTATGCTAGAGGTTAGCGTTGGGAAGGTGTTGTTTTCTAACGTAAAATACAAGGAATAGGGGGACAGTGTCTTTACAGGAAATAGGGTATTTAACAAGGAAGATGAGCCAGAAAGTCAGTTTTATGTGCGTTCACAAATTTAATAGCAAATAACTCACTTTTCGGGTACTAGTGCTGTTTATTTTTTGATCCGGTTTTTGATCCAATAGTACAAGCAGTTTAACCAGAGTCTCTACCCTCTCATCTCCTCCCATCTCATTAACTAACTTTAATGCATATGTCCCTGTGAAATAAATATGCAGTTAGAAGGCTGAAACCTTGTCAGGTTACCTTAAAGAATGAATGCCTCAATACTACCCAGTGGTTGAACAAGAAATTTTTCACTTAAATACTCACTTGTATATGAAATATAGACATTGGTAGACGTTAGAGGTCGGCTTAGGAGGAGCATGTATGGTATGTAGGTCTTAAAAGACAAGTTACTCCTTTCCACTCAATATTTTTTTTGGGGGGCAGAATGGCGACCATAGCCAGATGGAGTAAATCAGTTCACTTCTGTAAACTTGTTTACACAGTGCATTTTCCCACAAGAGCTGGATCTAATCTCTGAGCTATATAGGGATCTGCTCAGTCAGTTCATAACCTGGAAAGTCCAATTTGATGTCTCGCAGACCATGTCTCCAGCTCATGCAGCAAGGCTTAGTAGTACAGACTGTGTTTTGTTAAACGTAAATGCACAGTATGCGTATCTGGAGAAATCAAAGAACAAATAGGACAACTCTAGGAGAATTATTTTCCAAGGAACAAGTTCATGAGTTTTAGTCTTTGTATGAGGAGTGTTTGCAGTTGTTGAGATTTGCTAGAACAGGTACTTAATGCCTTTGGCTTTGTTAGTCTTTGCCTTTTAATGTGCAGGTATTGCTGCCTGACGTGGTGAGGAGACTGTCTTCTAACCCCAGCACTTAGGGTCTGACATGATGCAATTCATGCATTATTCAATGTCTATGGCATTACTTTGTTTCCTTTCCCAGTTAAAGCGTGGAGCTTAATAAAGAATGCAGAACACTTCATGAATAATTGAGGCGTGGTGGTGAGACAGTGTGTGGCAGAGAGAATGCTATGCTAGGTTTCAAGAAACTGCAGATTCTATTTCTGGTTGAGTCACTGTTCTGCTGTGTAAATTTGCACTGGTTCTTTCATTTCCATGTAAAATAAGAATGAGTTGTACGTCTTCAAAATGCTCTAGGATCCTCATAAAAAGAAAAGCTTTTGATAAAGATGCTTGAATTTTAAGTGTGTGCAGATGGTAGAGTAATTTGCATCAAGCACAATCCCCTTTTTACATAATACCACCACCGTTGTGCTGACGTCTATCAGGTGTGTTGAGAATAGCTCTGAGAAACATTGTGTCCCTTAGGCACAGTGCTCAGTGGGAACTCTTACTTAGTAACATATTGCATGCAAAATCTAAAAATACTACCGAGATTGTTTCTGAAGTTACAAGAAACAGGCTTTCTCTCCAAAGTTTTGGGTTTAAATAGAGGAACATGCTTATGAATAAATCTGTTTAAATATGTGACACGTCTCATTTCTCCATATCCAACAAAAGGACTCAGAATATGGATTCCAGCCTTGGAATTGCAGTCTTACATTGCAGTGGGTTTTGCATTTCTTTAATTTTTATTTGTTTTTAAAATAGTTATGGTTCAGTTATAAAATGTGAATTCATATTTTGATTTTAATCATATGCTGCCATCTATCTTCTCGTATTTCGAAGAGACTTTGAGATAAACAGTCTTTCTGGCTCGTTTTTTCCTTTCATGTATGTTTATAACTTCAGAAATTTTTAAGATGGTCAGAAAGTGGTATTTTTTAATATGGACCATATATTTTTGGTTGCTGGAAAATGCTGTATTAAAACATTTTTCAAAACATCGCATCACTAGGGAGCACATCCAGGAAAACACTGTGCTGTGGATTTGAAACTCTTGAATATTAATCCACTTCTGAGCTTGAAGGATTTTTGGGGTCGATTGTGATGTATGATGATGCTTTAAAACATTTGTTGAACTTGTAAATATATGAAAATAAAATGCAAATATAAATAAAAGTTGAAGCCTCTTTTAATTGATTCTGATGTAAGCTGAGTTGACAAAAGATCTTTTCATTTGGCTTACTTAAACTGTATTCTTACTTCTTAGCCTGCGTGGTTGATTGTAGACAGATAAATTTGGAGTCAAGTTTAGCTTCTGTTGTCATCCTACTGGTTTTACAGATCCAGCTATGGAAATACAGAAGGAAAGACATCTTTACAAGGAATAACTAAAACCATACTGAATTTTTAATCCTTCCTCCTTTATTTGTTCTCACTGGTTTGTCAGAAGCAACTTGAAAAATTTACCATTTTACAGTGGCTGAATTCCACAGTAACAGCTGTAAAATGAACTGAAGGTGGTCTTATTTTACTATGAAGAATATCAAACCAATTTTGGGGCATCAGTTGCAGGCACTTGCTGAACATTGATCTGAGGTGCATGCGTTCTGCATCCAAGCAGGGAATTTATGGCCTTCATTCTTCCTTATGCTTCCTCATGTTCTTACACAGGGGCTGCACAGTAAAACAGATTGTATGGTAAGAAAGGCAGTTGTATTGGCTGGGAGAGTACAAAGCTAACATGTATTGACATTATGTCTATATTATTGTCTGTGTTAATTTTTACTAATTAAGCATTATTTTCAAGTGGAATGTGTATTTTGTAAAGATTTTCTGCACTGATTTAATGTTCTTAGTGGTAGAGAGT